CCGTAACTGCAAAACCGGCCGATTGTTTTAAAATTGGAAATTTGAACAAAAATAGTGTCATTTGTTTTTCTTTTTAGGTCAAATAATTTGTTAAATCACCTTAATAAATGTGCAGGATGAGCACGACTCAAAATGACCCCTTTTCAATCATGCATAAAATCCCTTTGGAGTTACGTCTGTGGTGGAACGATTTAGGCGGAGAAGGGCAAGATGCAGTCAAGAAACATTTGAAAGGGCTTACCGGATTGCTCGATTGTGCCTCGGGGAGATATTATTAGAGCACTGGTCACATGTTGGGACCCAGCACATAACGTGTTCCATTTTTCGGACTTTGAGCTTACCCCGACATTAGAGGAAATAGCTGGCTACATTGGGAAAGATGAGGTTCCGTTGAGGCACAAATACTTGGTTGCCCCCAGAGTTGTAGCCGTGCACAAATTTCTAGATTCTTTGAAAATAGTCAGAACCGTTCACAACACAGATCTGGCAAACGGCTTTTGTACTCTGAGCTTCATATATCATCGATATGGCTATATCGGGGGATTCAACAACCCGGAAAGTAAGATATGCAGCAAAGAAAACCGCCAGAAGTGGGAGGAGCATCGACGTTTCGCCTTTACGGTGGCTTTCCTCGGGCTTTTAATATTTCCAAGGAAGGATGGGAACATTGACATAAAAATAGCTGGAGTCGTCAGCACGTTAATTACTCAAGCCAAAAGTACTCTTGCACCTATGATATTGGCCGACATCTTCCGCGCTCTTACAGCCTGCAAGGCCGGGGAAGCTTTCTTCGAGGGGTGCAATCTATTGTTACAAATGTGGATGATCGAGCACCTGTGTCATCGTCCTCAGTTTTTGAGCTATGGGTCTCCAGAAAAAACATGCATAGAAGAATTTTACACAAGGATTAAAGGGGTCAAATTGCCAGAAGGAGTCACGGGTTGGACAACATATTTCCGGTCCCTCACTGCTAGCCAAATAGAGTGGACACTGGGATGGTTACCCGTTGACAAAGTCGTATATATGCCGGCAACCCGACCACATTTCCTCCTGATGGGGCTTAGAAGCATTCAGCCTTACGCACCGTATCGAGTGTTGAGGCAGTTGGGGAGATGCCAGATAGTACCCAAGGATGATGATCTTAGTTTGCAAGTGGTTGAGATTGGCCCTGATGGCCAGTTTCTTGAAGCAATGGTCCGCCAAGTCTGGAGCGAATGTCAATATTTGGCGGCAAACACTTGTGTTCGAGATCGAGCCAAAGGAGAAGTGTCACCTGATTATCAGGCTTGGTATAGAAGGGACGTTGCATTCGGAAGACCGGCCAAGCGACCTCACATTCAGGAATTTGTTGAATCATCACAAGAACAGTGGGCTTGGTTAGCTAAAGAAAATGAGTATAGGGCTCGCATAGGAGCATTGGAAAAACAGGTCCAAGACCTCCGATTTGAAAATAGCTTGCAAGCCGCGGCTGATGAAGGGGAGAAAAAAGATTGGCCAAGGAGAATGGAGTCTTACGAGCCCAAATCCAAAAGATGAAGTTAGAGGCCGATAACCCTGTCAGGAGTGCCAAAGATGCAAAGCTTATAGCAAATCTAAGGCAAAAGGTGAATGATTACAGTTTTGACCTCGACAAAGCGGAAAAGGAATTAGTTGGGGTTCGGAGGCAATTGGCTAAAAATGCGAAGAACGGGTCGCATGGTTAAGCAGTTAAAAGAGGAATATGACAATGAGGTCGCAGGATTAAAGGAAAAGGTCATTGTCGCAGAGACCCGAATGATTAAACAGGCAAAGGACTTCAAAGTTGAGAGAGAACATTGTTACATGGCATTGGCACAATTAGAAATGGACTTGCAACAACTCCAGGAACAAAGCCAGGCGACTGAGCAAACTTTGGAGGCTAGGACCCAACAGATAGGGCGGTTGCTTCAAGAGAAAGGAAGAATCAGAGAGAGAATCTTAACCGTTGCTCATTCCATTACTAGGAAATGCCAAATGTGCGAAAACATGACCCGTACCACCTTCTTTGCGTCGGTGATGATATTTGTGAAGCAGATAATGAGTGACCTAGACAGACTTCAAGGGGAACTTGCATATAGGCCCGCGGCGAGACCGAATGATGTCCCGCGGGCACCAGGAGCTTTAATGTATTCATGATTGTCTTTGAGTCTGCATTTCTTCTTCTAC